TCAGAGCTCTTATGAATTCCATAAAGTTTTTGTTTCTTATTGAGTTCAATACGGTTAACCCCTTCGTTAGCTCTTCGCTGTGATAGGGCTAACGCTCGAAATATCAGCCTTAAAAACTATTTTTGCTGGCCAATTTGCCTTGTCCTTGTTTTGCTTATTTACTATGCACATATTTACAAATATGGGACACGCTTAGTGTGCCATGTCATAACAAGGGTGCTAATGCGTTCACCTCAGTACACGTCGAAGGTTATATAATGGAGAGATTTTGCGACGCGTTCACGTGAAACGTGAATGGCAAGAGTAACCACATGACCTTGTTTTTCTCGCCACTTTTTTACGTTGCCGGGTACGCTTTGCCGTTTCGACATGAAAGTAACCTGTTTTTCGTGTACGTAAGATATTCTTCACTTTTTCTCTCACAGCGTAGAAGTTGGTTGCCAGAAAAAGGGCACCAAAGTTATTCCCTATTACTCATACAAGGGCTCCTTCAAACCAACATGACGCAAGCTCACGCTAAGCTAAAGCAGCAAGTTATAACGTGAAACGTGAAAAGGGCAAGCTGACGTTTGCTGTTTCACGTAAACGTGGTGCTAAATCTCTCTATCGATGACAGCTCTCCTACGTAGAGTGACACTTGATATCTAAACTTTCCGCACCACTCCCTCAACCTGTTTACCAGATTTTGAAGGTTTTCTTCCGTTACAGGGCTGAATTGTACCAGCGCCGATTCTAGTGTTTATTTGTAGATACTTTATTTTAAATCGTTATGTGCATCGTTTCTTCTCGATAATTCGAATCATATTTTTTCTTGCCTTAGGGCCTTTATTAGTGTTGATTGAATCTGTTCCTTATGGATATCTCTTGAATTACCTCAGAAAGAGCCGTGGATTAAATGATACTTTCTTCAAAGACCCGGATATCAAACCACAAACAAATTTGACATCAGAGCAGCTGATGAAGTTTGCCTGGCAAATCGCAGACGGAATGTCCTATTTGTCATCAATACCAGTAAGTGATATAATCATTTCTGAACACTCATCGTCTTCTTTGTAGAGTTAGGCAACGGTTATCACTCAATATACTTCACTGTTATATAGACTCCTAGGCTCTATTGCTCATTATTAAAAACTGGATAATTGGATAATGCAATTCAAGACTTTTTATTGGTTTAGCCATTATGGAATATGAGCCAATATACCATAATCTACAAATGTGGTAAGCGTACGCTTCAGCTTAAAATTAAAAGGGAGCTAAAAATTTAATAAAATCTAATAATTTAATTCAACGTTTTCAATAAAACAATTATTCCACTCGTTCTTGTTGGATATGAGATGAATAGAGCTCATAT